CTGAGGTGGGAAATGAAACCGGTGATTAATATCTTTCCATTCTGAACAGAAAATGAACATCCATGCCCAGAACACTCTGACCTGTCCCTGCATCATCACATCCCAGGATTCATTTGTATATTTAGACTTTTTGTCTCAGAATCAAGAGCCAAACACCAGCTTGCAATACGAGGGTTTGAATAGGCATTATAAGTCCAAATACCAAAACTTGCCTGTTTTACGATACAGTGTCTGTGGTTGCCGGGGCAGCACAGTTGGACAGTTCCCTGGTGTTTGATCAACGCTGCTGTCACAAATCTGTGCCTCTGGATAGAGGGTACACACAGAGTATTTGTCTGTGGTGTTTTGAAGATCTGCCATCCGACAAAACTCATCTTCCTGGGCACAGCCTGAGAAGTAAAGTCAGAAAGAGTTACACACACAAGCGTTCCTTCCCCTCTCTGTTCCTGTTCATGTTTTTGGTGCACTTAAAGCTAAATATCAGCAAGAAACTAAGAGTGAGAATTTCAATACTATCCTGTTAGTTGTGCAAAATAATTAATTTATTTAATTAAAAGTCCAAGAGAAAGAGGGGCATATTCCAGTTCTAGTGGCATTGAACAACAGGTGTACTTGGAGAACACAGAAAAGGAGCTACAGCACAGCCTAACAGGGAAGAGAAATTCTCCAGCTGTTGCAAGCATTGCATTGCTCCAGTGTATTGGTGTCACTCTAATATTTAATTCATAAAAATCTCTTTCTTTTCAGTAAATTTGACATACAAATCGTATAATCATAAAATAACTCTGCATCAGTCATGGGTCTCTTACTTTAATGAGTAAAAAGGACAATAAAGTCCACAATGTCTTAGGATGCTTTTACAAAAAATTAAGAAACAGGTGGTCCCACAAGCAATTTCCATGAAAATTTTAGGAGTTTTCCCCCCAAAAAATCTTGAAGTCCAAAGTCTCTACTGGTCATTATTATAATACCTATTTTAGTTAATTATTATTTCCTACAGAATAACAGCCTCCAAGAAGTCTTACGTGTGAGACACCAAAGCACAGCTTCCTCAGCTGAGTATTTCTGACTGAAGATCCAATACTGCTGGTAAGGGAGAGAATAGTTCTGGTCACTTTGTATCTGGCTGTTGTCCACTAGGTAGAAAAGATCCTTTGTGGAATCTGAGACACAAAAAACCAGTCTTAAATAAAGCTTAAACATGATCTGGAATAAATTAAATTTATTTACGCATAAAATTCTGCCTTTCACAGTAAAACAGCTGCAACCATTTTGTACAGCTAGCATACACCAAAGGCTGCATTTCATAATACAACTGTCCTCCCACATTTAGAGATGCTCCTGTAGGCAATGCCCCCTCTCTGAGCTGCACTGCACAACACAGCATTGTCAGACTACTTCCACCTCCCAAAAACCTGATGAAAATCCCAGCTCCTAGAAATTAGTGTTCTCTCTACTCTGTCATGCAACACAACATCCTAGCACTCAAGTAAGATGCCTCAGAGGATGTTTGCAATTCCTTAATCAATCTAATTTCATTAATCCAAAGTACAGAAGTTTCCTTATATTCCCTTGAGAAGCTTTTACACCTCTCCTCTCTATGTTGAAAGTTTTCTTGACAAGTTCAATACCTATTTCTGTCATTTAACCTCATTTCTCCTAGTTTATGCTCCCACAGACCACATTAAATAACTCCTTTCTGTCACCTGCCTGTGACCTTTAGACATGCATGCAATGCTTTATATCTCCTGAGCTCCCTCTGAAACAATCAATCACAGGTCTTTCAGGCTGTTTCCAAATTTGGCCCTTTAAATAAGGTTGCAATACTGAAATGGACACTCTTTGCTGATCTCTTACAAATTTCTTTTTCAACACTTTCTTATTTATCACGTGCCATCAGCAGCTCTCACCCCCAGGACCAACATTGTGAGAAATTCTGTTATTTAATCTTACATGCAGTGAAACAATCAGAATATAATGAAAACAAGGAAAAGTAAAGACATGCTAATGATTACTATTGAAGTGCTGGAACACCTACTGACATGCTGGGAGTGCACTATAGCTTTGAATTTTCTATCAGAAACTAGAAAAGATATGTTACCACGTGTTTTATGAAAGATCATCAAGTAATAAAAGCTTTGTAGACATTTTCCTATAACTTATAACGTAAGTTATGTACCCATAACTTCTTAAAAAAGGTGGCTTATAATTCCTGTTACCTCTCAAGCCTTAACTTCAACCTCCAGTTTCTCTGGAAACAGCTGGTGTCACAACTAAGACTTAGGGATGCAGGTAGAAACTGCCATTCCTTGCATAACTTCATGTTTTAATGATACTATCAGCCCCAGCAAGGTAAATGGAGAACCCTGAGGGCTGCACTCATGCCTTGGCAGGTAAATGCAAGAGAATTTCACCCACTGTATTACATGCATTTTTTTTCCTCTCATTTTTGAGTCTAGACTTTAAAATAGCCCTAATTGTATAGGAGCACCATTTGGTAAATGGGCATTTTCAGTTCACCTCCCTTTCAAATTCCAAAAGAAAATCAGCAGTTCACTTCCTTTTAGGATTTTGCATGTATTAAATCATGTGCTCAGACATTCATCAAGACTCCTCAGCGAAGATTACATTTCATTAAAGGTGAGCCAAGATGCTCTCAACAGGCTCCACTGCTCACTTACTCTTAGGATTATGGTGCTGAAGGCCCAAATGAATTCTAGTAACTTACTACACATTCTTTAGAACCTATACATGACCTGTACAAGAGCAAACCCTGGAATAACAAAGAGCTAAGAGAAGTTCACAGGTCCCTCAGTGTCATCATGCATGGAGGAAACACTTGTGATTGCAGTTTCATCCTGATTTTCTCTAAGCATCATATTCGCAGTCATACTGTCACTAGCAGTAAGGATGCCCAGGTACCCTAGCTAAGGATTTAATTTCTGGGTCTAGGTGAAATTTTTTCTTAAACCAAGTAGTATTTCTTGAGTCCCTTCAATTCAATAAGTCTGAAAGAACAAGCTTTAATAGAACATTTTAACATCTGCATTTCCAGCCTAGCCTAAGAAGGTTAAAAATCATAAAGCCAGGAGGTTTACATTTTGAACATCTTCCTCAAAACCTGTATTGGACTTCCTACCTAAAAGAAATCCTCTTTACTTCACAGTACCTAGAGCATTATGAACATATATAACAATATATAATATTTTCTGGTTAAATTCTGCATCCCTCCTCTGCTGTCTTCTCTGCCCACCCTTGACATAGTACCTGACAATGCTAAATCACTCTCTGTCTCCAAAGCAGCAGAAGCACCACACTCAGAGGTTTTAGTCCGTGTGACCATATCAGAATCTGGAATGAAACAGGAATTAAAGAGCATTGTAATTCCCTTTATCTGTCTTTCACAAAATCATCCTTAGAACCCAAAATTTCACAAATATTTTAAAGTGCACCTCTTTAGGAAGTTCCACCAGCCGTTGAATCAAAAACAAATAAACCACGTCTGTACAGCTCTGGGAAAAACCTAAACCAAAATGCACGGTTTGCAGGATAAAAGCAAATGTCATATCCACAATCATTATACACTCAGCATCAGTGGTGGGGAGACTGTGTGTGTTTATAAAGCAGCATCAAAAATCATTTGTGCAGGTTCTGCTGTGTACATAGCGACATTCAGAAAGCGAACTTGCAAAAATAACACATACAGGGTTATCATGCTAAAAAACATAACCTATGTAGTTAAGCATAAAGCGCCAAATTATTATGGCACCTGGACACTGATGGGACAAAAGCATGTGTGTTGATGCTACAATTTTCACAGGTATTAAAAGTTATAAATGATGTTCTCAGACACAAGAATTTACCCATATTTTATGAAAATAGAAGTAGCAGAATTAGCCCAGATTACCCACCCTACCAGAAAAAGCTTCTGAGCAGTGTCTCAATTTGGACAGCATAAAATGAAGCGACAATGCCACTTCCATTATAGAACACACATCTGCCACTGCCAACAGTTCAGCATAAGTTTTAATAACAACTTCTGTGACATAACTCACCTCTCCACAGGTAAACTTGCTGAAAGGTTGTAAAATTTCTTTCTGCCTCTTTCACCAACTCAGAAGCTAACAAAGAAAAAATTTTGTTAGAGTAGCTGCTCAAATTACACAGATAGTATTGTAATGCTCAGAAATTGCATAGAAAACTCATCACTACACTATGCATCACCTTATTTATAATACAAAACCCTAAGGAAGAAGGTCCCAGCTGTCAAGGGGCTAGTCTGGGCCCAGGGTGCCAAGGTTTTACTCAATATTCCATCACTGTTTTTCCTGTGCAGCTCTGGGCACCTCCCTTTTTATCTTTACTCTGGACTTTACCTTATTTTCAGATTATTGGCTTGAATCTGCCTGAATTAAATGCTGGAATTGTTATAGGGTGACATATTAAACACATTCTTGACTTTCATTAATGTACAGACTGTAAGACATGGGAGGTCCATCTCTCTAACAATGCATCCAGTTAGAAAATTCTTATTCTCTTGTGATTGTATTGATATGGACTTAACTTGAGAAAAAAAGCACTGAAGCACAAGAGCAAGCTGGTGAATAAGGCAGAGTCTATACAACAATTAAAGAAAACTAATGTAAATTGAGAGAATTCAATTACATACTTCCACTGAACACTTGTCCTCCCAGGGTGAAGGAAAATGTCTTCTCGTTTTCGTCGTAGTTCACACCATTACATATCCCACCTATGACAGAGGTTGGTGTTGGACTCCACACACTTCCATCGCAGATCAGCACGTCTGGGGAGCTCAGCAAACTACACAGAATGGTACCTAGGGTCAGGCAAAGAGAGAGCTGCAGCACTCCAGTTATGGCAAGCAACCTGTGCTACTTTGGGAGAGAGGTGTTTCGGAATGATTTATCTCATCCACACGTCTAAAGCAGGTCAAAAGAATTATCCTTTCAAAGATGTCCATCTTGCTCCAACAGCAGGTTGCTGCCTCAGCTCTTTATCTCTGCTGCCCCAGACCAAGTCTGGGGCACTGCTCAAATTCTGACAACACCAAAAAACTGTCAGTGATGTAGAGACAGCCTGCTGACAGCGCCATGACACAGAGGTGGGTGTGCAGTGCTCAAAAATGAGATTTACTCAGCGCTGGCTCCCTGCTGCAGGAGGTTTTGCTGTGCAGTTGGACAGTACCTCCCCCCAGGGCAGTGTGGCTCAGGATGAAGCCGTCGCAGCAGGAGTCCCCACTGCAGAGCTGCCGGCACAGGAGCTGAGCGTCCGTCAGCGACGCCGCGGTCGCTGGGAGCACCACGGAGCGGTACACGCCTGACAGCACGTTCTGAAAACCCGTCCTCTCAAAGGCCTTGAGTCCAGACGAGTTAAACTCCTGTCCTGGGTAGAAACAATGGGAAAAGAAAACGTTCAGGAGATGCTCAAGGGATGCTTCAAATGGTTCGGTGCCTTTTTACATGGGTAGCTGGTCAGAAATTACTGCCAGCAAAGGGCTCCTAAACGGATGTATGCAGTAAGGTTTTAATATTCTGCTTTCAAGCACTGCATGAGTAACTCCCAGATACAAACTTATCTCATTAAAAAAGTAAAATGTGTAATTTGGCCAGCATAACTGCTTCTGCAATTAAGGGTTCTGCCAGCTAGGAGGGTCACTAATAATGCCTTATATATTCAAATAACAAACTACTTAATGAAGAGAAATCATAATACAACAGAGCAGAATAGGATAATACATTGGATAGAATTAGAGTTTTTTTGGGACTTCTTGTTAGTAAAAGCTGTCAAAATGGCTTACAAAAGGTGTATTCCTAATTTCTAGGAAGCATGACATTGCTGTGGTTTCTGGGTTATCACTAAACGTTGAGCTCTCAAAAGTATTGTGCCTTCTTAAAAAAAAATGCTCCCCACATTTAATCACGATCCTGTATAATAGCAACCACCATCTTGGGCACAGAGTCTAATATTAGGTGAGTGATTCTCATCTGGTACCTCTCTTCAAATAGACCATCAGTGCATCTCCTTCTGGATTCCTGATACGAAGCAGGCAGCTGAGGCCACCAACGCCAGTGGCAGAAGGGTTCCCCAAGACACCTTGTACCTGAGACAGAAAACAGGCATGCACAATAAACACAACTTAATTGATTTCCTCTCCTGAAATACATTTTCTTTATTCAGAAACTCAGGGCCAGGAGCTAGCACACATGGGGATTATTATCACCACAGCTTCATGTGGACATTTTTTATTCTATCCAATACAGACATTTTTTATTCTATTAAACATAACTCAATTCTTCAAAGCACATTGCTGTGTTTAAAAGTAGTGAATAGGAAAATATTACAGTGATAAAGGGCACACAGTTCAAACCCTGGGCTACAGGAAGGAACTGAAAAATTCTGACTGTTTCAGGTGGCATGACTACCAACCTGAATACTTCTAGTTTGAACTATCCAGATTAATCCTGTTTTTAAATCAACCTGATTTCCTAACTGCAGGAGCCTAGCACGTTTTAGGAACAACAGTGCTATATGATGTTCCAACCAAACACTGAGACATCCAGACATCACTTTTGCAAACATCTGGGTGTAGCTTCTTTACCAACTTGCAGGAATTTATTACTGCAATAGGGAACAGCAATGTCCAAGTGGTCAGGTACCAGCCTGCCTTTCTTCTGTGATCTTGTCCTCTTATATTGAACATACAGCATTTTGATAAACACATATCTTTAAATATAACAATTCTTACCAATCCAGAGGTGGTGCAGTTGAAGTTGACTTCAGCAGCACTGTACAATTCACAGAGAACTTCAGCGCCAGCAGAAGTTACAGTTGCAAAGCCACATGCATCTTCCCTCTCGCAGCCTGAGAAACAAGGAAGAAGCCTTAGGTTTCCTAACAATTCTCATGAAAAACTTTTTCTACAAATTCCACTGCTTACTATCACTTACCTAGTTGTTCATATGTCTGTCAGAGTGCAAGCACATGAATTTCATTAGCCAGATGAATTTAAGTATTCAACTATTTTAGCAGAGGGTTAAGGATTTTAAACTAACTTCAATTCATGCAAAACGTTGTTCATCACCTGATAATATAAACAGTTGAGACAGGCCTAATCACCCACCCAAATAAATTTTGCCTGAGGCAGGACTCTCATGAACCACTTTGCCAGCACATGACATCTACCTGATACAGTAACCCCATGGGAAAGAGGTTGTGACAAATATCGAGGTGGTAGGAAGGAGGGAAACACCAAATTCTTCAATCACACTGGCTGCCTCTGCAGAAGGTCCCTGGCCAGTGTAAGGAGCAAAAGCCATCCCTTTCCAGATTTAGGAGTGTCTGAAGTTCCTTCTGCCCTTACACACTCACTGTGAACTTGCTCCCAACAGCTTGCTCCTAGCACAGGTCAATTTTTTTTCCAAATGTCTTTAGTATAAAATAAACCAAAATAAAACATAAAGCCACTGATTTGTCAGAATTCTCTGATATCTGTCCTACAAGCAGGACACCTGTGTTATTACTGCCAGGGTGTTTTTTATTTGGACATATCCCCTCTGCCTCCCTCCTCAGCCTGAGCATGAGGACACACAAGGTGAGACTGACTCAAAGCACCCTGAAAGAAGTGAGGTGATTCCCCTTGGTTTTAGAGGATTTTGAACCAACTTAAACCAGCAAACATGATGTATCCAAATGCAATGTAGTACATAGACTGCAAGACTTGGCAGAGAACTATCTTTGCACTCCTTATAACACCCTTCCTAAGCAAGGAAGATTATTATTCTTTTATGTGCCAACCAAGTAATTTGGGAAGAGGTAAAAGCTTGGTTTTCATATATCCTGAACATGTAATCCTTCTTTTGTCTGCACATCTGCAAAGTCTGATGAATGTTTCTGGTTTAAATCTCAGCTCTCATCTGTATTGCAAACTACAGATTATTTCTTTCTGAAAGGAACACTAATCTCTTCTCTGACCCAAGGTCACCAAAAGTTGTAAATATGTTGCAGTGAATTGGTGCCAAACTGCAGAACACACAGTTCATGTGGGAACTTAACTATAAGCTCATCATATAAAAAGATTATTATTTTCCATGGTGGTTAGTGTTCTCTCTACAGCTTTTATCAGAGTTTTCTCACCTGAAATGCACTGAAAATATGCATTTTGCAGGTCTCCTCCAAATGACTGAGACTGAAGAATTTGAGCTTCTTCTGATCCATAAATGAGACGGGAAGAAGGAACTCTCTCAAATTTTCTGAGCACTAAAAGAAAAACCAAAAAAACCCAACCATCTACTATTATCAGTTCCCATGCTCCAAACAGACAGAATTTACATAGAAATAAAACTTGAAGAATTCTGTAGGGAAAGAGGTTTGCTCATTAAATGATGTACCATAACCCACAGATAACTCAGGAGACAGCTGGAGTGGGGATAGAATTTCTGCTTTGAAAAAAAAGAAGCATCACAAGATTCTTTGAAAAACATTTAGCCAGGAGTGGGCTGGGAGTTTACATTGAAGTGAGTCTTTCTCTTCCAGCAGCACACCTGCCATCTCTCATTACTTGTTCAAGGCACTGAACCAACTATTGAGTCATGTGAGGAACTAACTTTCTGCAAAACAGCCACTGACACAGGAGCCAGCTCTGATGTCACTTGGTTAGAAAGGAAATATAGGAGCCTTGTTTCCAGGGGCTCAATAGCCTGATCTCCACTGACTTCAGGATCAGGGATATATCCAAGGTAGTATTTCCTACATGCTGTTTTATTGCTCCTTCATTTTCAGCTTTCAAAACCTGACTGCCACTCTACTGACCAAGCACTTTTATCTGCTCCCCCTGCACCCATGTGTAAGGATGTCTGGCAAGCAGCACTGTCTGCAAACCAGGAAAAGCTCATGGGGTCTAGAGACTCAAAACCCAAAGGTCATTAAATGGAGCAAGGGATCCATTTAAGCTCCAGAGGGTTTGGCCCTGGGTGTGCCCTGAAGAGGATCACAGACTGGTGAAGGGACACACAGTGCCACCACCACCCTGCTCAGGTTGCTACTCCCTGTACTACCAAGGGGGTGGGCACAGGGGGTCCACACATTGATATATCAGTGTATTTCAGGAAGCACAGCACATTATCCCTTCCCATGGACAGGGGTTGGAACTAGACAATCTTTAGGGTCCCTTCCAACCCAAACCAGTCTACGATTAAGGGAAGAACGTGGTGACATAGCATCATCTCTGTGCTGACCAAACCTCTCTAAACGCCCCAAGTAAAGGCAAACCTCTGGCTCATTGCAGCCAACACCTGGCCTAGACCTAAAAGAGGTAAGAAGCAGGTAAGAAGCATCAGTCCCACAGGTCTGATCCTAGCCTGTGGGAGATGTCTGCATGTGGAACTACTGGAGACTCAGCCCTTCTCCTCACTTCACTTGTGGAGGCAGAGGTCCAGCTGGAGGATCACAAGCCTCTGTCCCTGGAATGTCTAGATAAACCACAAAATAAAAGCTGGAAGACCACAGGCCTCTGTCCCTGAAATGTCTGGATAAGCCACAAAATAAAAGTCAAATGGATAAGTTCTTAAAACAATCACTTGTACTCCTACAGCAAGACAGTCAGGACTAAATCAGAAGCAAATGTCCATTGCTGTCAGGGCTGAGTCAGCAGGTGCTTTTGATAAAACCATCATTTCTGCTCAGAAAAAAAAAAAAAATCAAGAGGGTTTGTCAAACACAAGAAAATCCTTGCACTCCAGCCCAGATGGGGACAGGGAAGAATCATGGTGAAAACAGGTGGAAGCTTTTTCCCTCCTAGAAATATGGGGCACCGAAATATAAGCATTAGCTAAATTCTGCACTAAACTGAATCCCTTCTGCATCTGCAACTAGAAGTGATGCCTGGTTAAAAACTGTTCTCATTTCTACTGCAAAATGCAATTCGCAAAATTACATTTTCAAATGTTTTTCTTTTCTTCTGATTTTTCTCCCTAATTCTGACTTCATTTCACCCTTGCATTTTCAAGAGAAATCTTTCATCTCTACTTTTCTCCCATATTACTGAATACAATATTATTGAATATGGTATGTGTTAAATACAATAATATGAGAGAAAAGTAGAGAAAATATAGAAAGTGTAATGAAGCATGAAACTGAAAACACTGCGAAAATAATTCTTGAATTTTTTTTTTTTTTAATATGAAGAAAGTTAAAAAAATTGCATTCATAAAGCTATTTCACAAACTTAGTGCAGAGCAGAAATTTTCTCTCCCACATATTACTAGAGTAAAGCTGTAGGTCCTACTCATGTTGATATAATCACAGAATCACAGAACACCCTGAATTGGCAGGGACTCTGAGAGGTCATCAAGTCCAACTCTTAGCCCCCACACAGGACACTCCCAAGAATCACACCATGTGCCTGAGAGCATTGTCCAAATGTTTCTTGAACTCTGGCAGGCCTCACAGAATTGTTTGGGTTGGAAGGAACCTTAAAGATGTCCTAGTCTCAACCCCCATATAATAAATGTTAAGTAATAAATGTTAAGTGTAAACGTTAAGTGGCCTAAAATATAACAAAAGAGAGAGAATGATAATAACGAGCAACAGTTGTTACAGCTTATTACTGTGCTTTCATAGAATGCAATTCCTCTTCTGCCTGAAGACTCAAAAGCCAAAGACCAGCTGTGTTTTGTTGACCCTGCCCAACCACCAACCTCCTGTCAAAGCAAGGTCAGCCTTCAGCCCCTGCTGTCTTGCTGTGTGCAGAATTCAGTTCAGGGAAATAGCAGGGGCAGGGGGAAAAGTGAAAATAGAGATAAACAGTTTCACTTCATATAATGCTTTCTGGAAGTGCAGCATAATCTTAAAAAAAAAAAAAAAAAAAGAAATGAAATTAGCCTGATCTATTAGGTGCCATCCCTGCCCATGGAAGGAGGGTCGGAACTAGATGATCTTTAAGGTCCCTGCCAACCCAAAATCTTTTATGATATATTGCTGCTGGGTTTTTACAACCCAAACTTTTAACAGTCACAAATACTTGTAGTGACATCGTCTAGCATGATCCACAAAACCAAGCACAGGTATCTAGAATAGCTCCATCCTGGACAGACTCAGAAATGCCCATGCAGGAAGGCTCAAGGTGAGTAACAGGAGAATTGAACTCCTGAATCCTTTGCCCAGAGAAACATCCCAAATGCCCCGTGATCAAGAGCAACAGAGGCTCACACCTCGTGTTTATAGCTGTGATCAGTCTCTCAGTATGCTCAGAGGAAAAAAAAAGCTATTTTAACTGAAGACAGTTTTGCAGCCTCTTCACAACTAAGGGCTTTCATTTCACACTCTTTCCACTGATCAGACTTGTCATAAGGCATTGCCAAATACAAAGCCCACCATGACATCAGTTTCTAAACAGAATATTCAATTAATTTCAACACCAATCATATGATGAGTATATAAAACTTCGGGGAAAAAGCAAAAGATTTGAGGCTGAGAGGTATAGTCAGACCTTACTGCAGGCAGTCTGGGGACTGTTTGATGGATGACTTTGTTTTTTCAAACTTTTCATCCTTGAGAACCAGCACTTCACAGCTGTATTCAAGCAGAAGTAACCTTGCCCAGCTTGCAAGGATATGCTCGCCAAGGCAGATATTTTACAGCAGGAGCCCAGAGAGTGATGCTATGTCACAGTTGTGAGATCATTGCTGAAAATAGTCTATTTCCCATGACTACACTGATGAGGGATAATTTTACAAGGAAATTAATAATTCTGCTTCTTTCCCATTAGCCTTCTCATTATTCTTTTCGGTTTCCAAGCAGAGAGCAGGAGGTCAGCACACATCAAAAGCTGTCAGCCATCTGAGAGTGCAGGAAACCTGCTTCTTACTCTTCCCTTACCAGAAATAACTTCCCAAATGTAGTCAAGAAATGAAAAACTAAGGAGGAATGTGGCTTAAGGCAGAGGCCACAACTATGGGAAAGTGAATCCCCATAAGCTGTGGAGTGATCAGTCTCTTCAAAAGGAGGTTTTACTTATTTGGGGCCAAACCATATCCAAAACATTCTTCTGGCACTTACCCGTGCACTGGTCATCTGTAAGGAGATCCTCAGTTCCAGTCCAGTCCAGTGCTGCTCCAAAGTTATTGACACAGAAGTATTTCTTAGTGTCAGGGTCTTTCTGGGAAGGTCTATACTGGCCATCTTCATCACACTGCAGACCCTCCTCATTGCTCTGACAGTATGTGATACCTGTTACAAGAAAACAAGAAAAAAAGGTACTTTGATAATGCTGTCACTGGGTTTCCCAGGATGGCAGAGGTTGGACAGGACTTTGGAGGTTGTACAGTCCAATCTCCCTGCTCAGGCAGAGCCACCAGAGCTGGTTGCCCAGGACCACATCCAGATGGCTTTTACCCATCTCCAAGGTCAGAGACTCCACAACCTCCCTGGGCAACCTGTTGCCAATGCTCAGTCATCCTCAGAGTAAAAAAATGCTTTCTGATGTTCAGAGGGAACCTCCTGGGCTTCAGTTGTGCCCATTTACTTCGGTCCTCTCAATGCAGTAGGACAACGTTCCATTGCTCTAGGGCAAAAGTCCCCTTACTACAGCAGAGACTTCACTGAAAATTAGGCTAGGATTTGCATGGTGTTTTATGCTCTGAAACATGGTAGTCTCACTGCTTTGTTGTTACTTCAATTCATGTTTCAAACATTTTTTGGGTTCTCTGCCATGGACCAAATCTCTGTCGATGTATCTTCAGTACTGTAAAGCAAAGGGGTACAGAGAAGGAACTGCATTTCCATGCAGGTTTTTTCAGTGCCTGCTGCAGGGGGTCTGCAGAATGCCCTGAACAACAGCACAAGAGCCATCACACCAATTAATTCAGAAAAACTTTTCAGACTTCGTAAGGAGACAGCAGGGAAAGAAAGAAATCAGAAAGCTAATCTGTACAACCTGGACTTTTGGAGAGGGCTGGCACTGAGATACAGCACATAGCTAAGGTGGAAACTAGGGGGGGACCAGGTTTAGTAAAGAAAACTCCAAGTGCAGTAAAAAAATCCTAAAGAGCAAACTTTTAAGGACACAAGCCCAGCACCTACTCAGGGAATACACATGGAAATGAATATGTACAACTTTAGGCAAAAAATAATTGATGTTAGGATGCATTAAAATAAAACTGGATCTTTTTATCCCACCTAAGAGAAGAAACAGGTTGAAGGAGAACAAAATAGACAATGACACTCCCAAGAAACCTGTTCCTGCTGCTTTCATTTTTATCCATAAGTTAATGCTGCAGACAAAACCGAATTTGGACTTAATAGCTGATTTTCTGCATGGAACTGCATGAAAAAATAAGTCATTTAAGCTGAATTCACCAACTTTTGTGAACATTTGAATAGTTGTTTTTTGAGAAGTGTTTGTATTTGAAGGGGAAAGAGCTGCACAGAAGGAGAGTGCTTTAGTGTTCCCGAAAGTGGCAACAAATCAACTGCATGAGACGTTTCTCACTGATACTGAACACCCAGATACCATTCCCGAGGACAATGAACACGTCTAAAGGAACCACAACATCCTGGATGAGACTGACCACTTCTTTCTCATGCATTTTTGGTTAAAACACCAGAAAGTTTGTACTTTGTAAAATGCCTCTGAATGTATGCAGAAGGGATCGCATCCATCCAAAAAGCCCCAGAGGGAGGATTTTTTATTATTTTTTTTTTTAACTTACAAAGCAATAAAAAACCCAAAACATTAGTTATTGGAAGCCTCAATATAAAGGATATGGGAAAAAATGAGTCCAACTTACAGTGATCAGTACTGACTGCCCCATAGGAGTTGGTAGTTTTGCCCACAGGACACTTGATACAGGAGGAACGTCCTGTCTGCTCCTGATAGTAGCCAAGAGGGCAGGGAATGCATTCATTGTCCTGGAAATGACTGCCTGGAGGACAAACAACTGCAAAGAGAACAGTCACCTTATTACTCCTTAGGAATTCAACCAGTTTGGGCATTTGTACACACATCTGTGGGTGTGTATATGTATATAAGAATACATCTTATCTTAGACTTGCCGTAGGCTTCGAGCTCTTAATATATGTATTTCTAAGTGCTATAACAAGGGTGAACACTCCTTAAATGAGCACTAAACTCATCAATAACAAAAATACAGGCTGTGGTCTGTTTTCTCAGATCACCCTAAACCTGTCCTTCAATTAGTGCACATGAAGGTGTTCAGAAATGCCAAATCCAGGCCTGATTTCCGTTTGTCAAATCCATTTGTAATAAGATAATGCACTTTGTGGATAAACTGTGAAGGAGAACAATGGAAGACAAGCTACAAACAGAGTAACTTCTAACACTACAGACAGAAACAGGAAGGCTCCTTGGAGCAGAAACTCCAAAACCATCATATAGAAACCCACCATATGGTAACGCTTTCATCCACAATTCCTGGTAATGAAATTTTTGTTAAGTGCTTCCAAACTAAACAGTAATGGCCGGATTAAGAGTCACTAGCTGTGCACATGACAACCCAAACACAAAAAGATGCTCTTAGTCCATGTAGATATCATTTTCAAAACAATCAGGAGCAATATTTCCAGCTGACCTGTTGCCTGTTATGAAGAAAACTTTCTTCTGGGATGTCATGGAATACTGTCTGTCCCTCCAGAGCATTCAAATGAACATTAAAGCAGAAGAGCCACAGACACGTTTACAGGACAGTACCTCTACTTGTTATTTCACAGCTGCTTTCCAGATGTAGATTTCGTTCAAAACACTATCAAATGTATATTTTGGGACTTGGACAAGGTGCAAAATTTCATTTCTCTTCTTGCCCTTCATCTTGGCAGCAGTTTAAGCTCGCATGAGTGAGAAACAGTAATGGAAAATTGGCCATCATCACAACCCAAATGATGAATTGCTGTTCTGGCCAATGCACCAGAATGTAAATTAATTTAACTTATAGGAGCACCTAAATTATAATAGACTACAAAGACAGCTAGTAGAAAAATTATCATGTCTTCCTTCATCTGCTGTAAATGGTCCAATGGGAAAGTCTAGGATGATACAACTGTGAGACCGAAATTTTCCTTCCAAATGCATATCAAGGCAATTACTGTAGGTAAAACACATACCTAAAATCAATTACACAACGTAAAAAAATCCTGGATTATACGGAATTCTCCTTTCACAAGCACATTATTTAATACACAAAAGTGTCTGATACATTTTAAATAGTTTCCAACACATGAGAAAAGGATCATACTCATTGCAAATGAACAACAGTAGAAATTAAAAAGAAATGAGCAATCCATGCCTAAATTGAAGACAAAAGCAAAGAATGAGGGAGACTCATTAGGCAATTACAGTTTAAAAAGGAACAAATTACGCTTTTCAAAGCATTCTCCTGTTTTTGTAGTTTTAATCACAATGTGAAAGAAACAGCTGTGTTTCCTATTATATTTAAGTAAAATTCCCTTTCATCTCACACATCACATTGGCAAAAGGACACAAAGAGCAGTAAAAACTCTTGGTGCAGAGACACATTTTTTAGACTCTGTAACTCTTGGAGGCACCAGTACTTTCAGCCACAGGTCACATTTGACACAATCCCATAGAACTTCAGTTCAGTCTTAAAAGTCAGATAAACCACCACATCGTACTTCTTTCAAGCTTTAACATTCTCACATTTTAACAGTATAAGAAACTAGAGAACAGCTCTGAGCCAAAATCTCAGATCTGGTTGTTAGCACTGGGCCCAAGCTTTGTATCCCTAAAAATAAGAAAAAAGATAATCAAATATAAAAAATGAAAATAAACCCCAAATTTAATCCCTTGCTCCTGCACAGGAAATTTGGAACCCAGTCTCACTTCTAGCTAGACTCAAGCTTCTGTGTACCAGGTGAGCAACTTGCTCAGGAGCAAAATCCAGGCTACAGAGCAACCCACTGGAGTAACTACACAGGGACACCTCACTTCACAAGAGCCTCCTTTTACTTAAGATCACCTCTCACTATACTAAGAAAGATCAAAACCTGTCAAAACTGATCATTGTCCAGTGCTCTTTCCCCCATCCAGGGACACTGGAAAACTTTGGGATATCAAATTCTTGATCTAGACTATTAGAAATGAAGACTTGAGCTGCTGGCTCAGCTATAAATCTAGTATGTTCTTTGATTTGGGTTATGTTCTGCTCAAAGCAACTCTGACAGAACTGCCAAGCATTTTAAATAATAAAAGGAACCAGCATAAAAACGTACAATAAAACAAAGCTAAGTAACAAACAGTCTTCAGGTTTTCTCATGAAATAAATAGTGCTAGGTTCTCCTGGACAGTTTCCAACTCTCTTCTTTTTGACTAATACCTGAGCGAAGAAAGTGTCTTTTGTCTCATCAAAATTCAGCTAAAATAAAACTTATACCTCCAATACCTCTTAAGGAATTATATTCATAAATACCTGTGGCATAATATAACTCAGTATAAGACTGAGACTAAGAAAAAATGTCACATTACAAAAACTAACACATGATAAATGTATTAGTTGCAGGCAGGAAAACACGAAACAAAGCAACAATAAACGCAAATCTAAGTAAAGAGATTACTTTAAAGGAAATACATGAGATGAAGAGGCGGATTCATTCAAGCTGTATGTTCCTAGATGAAAATACTAAGCTTATTGAGACCACAAGAAAGTTGTTGCTACGAAGCTGACCATGCTTCCTGAAGGAAAGGCAAATTACAATGATAGCAAAATAAAACCAAACAAATAAAAAAGCTTAGAATCTGAAAACCCAGTTTGTATTTCAACAAGTTGGAAGAGGAAAGGGAAGAGAATAAAGAATCTCTGTCACCCTCACACAACTTTGGTTTCTGTAGTCACTGGTGATACTTCCTACTGATATAGCCTCTGGTAGAGATATAGATCCAGACAGGATGAATGATCAGGATATATCTAGATATCTAGATAGAGAGATAGATAGATAGATCTTAGAGGAATCAGAACCTGGATTCCTAAATTCCCTGTTCAGAATAAAATATGCAGTCATACTACACAAACCACTGTCCAGCAGCAGGCACACCATGGCAGGTTAGAGCATGAAAGCTGTGCTGAAAGCTCTGCCAAAAGCTGGAGCAGAAACTGCCTCCTTTCCACATCTCCATGAGGTCTGTTTTACTGACTTGTTCCACAGCTAGCTCATTCAAATACATAAGAATTAACTCACAAGGTGACTTAATTCACTGCTTCCCAGAGGCCTTTATCCCTGGCAGGAAATACTTGGCAGAAAGATCCAATTCTTTGTAAGTTCTGCTCTAAGTGATGGATTCTACTTAAAAAATAATGATACTTCCAATTAGTACAACACTACATCTTGTTAAGTAGCTACAAGTTGTTAAAAACTCTGGATTCTCAGTAGGAATTAATTTTTTTTTCTGCATAAACCTATAGTCAATTTACCCTTAAAAGTCCAAGCTGGAAACTGCAGCAGTTCAGAACTGATTCATCACTTGATTACCTTGCCCAGGCATTAGGAAATTCTCCTGAACTTAAAGAGAAACAGCACACCAAGAAGGGAGCTAAGTTGTATTCTGGTTTACTCTTGGGGTCTCTAACTTAAAGCTGCATAGTGTTGAAGTTTTTCCAACTGAAAATATTCCCCACACTGGAAAACCTATCCAATATGTGCTACTGTTCTCTTACACACACATGTGGTACATCTCTCCTCTGTTCCCCCCCACAAAAAGACATAGTGAATGCACCCCAGTGACATAAGTAAGACAGACACACTGAGGACAACTGGGCCAACAAGACCAATCAGGGTTGCACTGTGGGAGAGTTGGTGTTGATAGAAAAAAGGCAAAGGCAGTTTGTCAGCACGACCTGGTACCCAGTACGGCCAGGCAAAGCCATGGGGAACCATGGAAAAGGTAGGTTTGGCAGCCCTAAGCAGGATTTTGACAGAAAAGCAGCCTTTTCCAGGGAAGCAGACTAAACAGAAGGAAAGTGAAAGAAGAAAAGAGGGAGGAAGTGCAGTCAGGTCTCAGAGTTGGCCAACACTGAAAAAGCTTTCATCTGAGCAGGCTGGACTTGGCCCAGGAACTCAAAATCTCAGGACTTTTGCCATTGCAGCATCTAGGTTTCTATTCTAGGTAAGGTGCCACCATCTGAAGCACTGGCTGCATTATCTTTGTAAGATCCTCTTATTAAGGATCATGTACATTACAGAACTACAGAATTATGAGACAGATCTAAAATAATCCTCCAAAATTTTTCCAAAACCTTCTGTACAGTGTCAGTGCGATGATGCCTGTTTCCAAACCATTGGCTCGATAAGAGGACTGAACAGTAAGCAAAGCACTAATTCCCATCTCTCCCCAGATTTATCATTCAAGTTGGTGCTTCATGCCTTTCACATATGAACCACAAACAAAAGTGCAACAATTTTCTAGCTTCAGCTTTACACTGATTCCCGACAACATCCAAGAATGGAAAGCTAAAGTGAGACATACCACATCCTTGCGAGCTTGGGACTGCTTTCCCTGGAGATGAAATCCTTCTAAACCCACTTCTGCATCCCAGTTGCACACGTGGAGACAGATCAAACTCTTCATCCCGGGGAAAATCAACTACAGAATCTGCTTGGAACTGCTTGGAGTCCAAATGCAGCAGAAAAACACCATCCTTAATCTCTTTTATAAATGCTCCAATGAGATTTTCCCCAACGATTGCATTTTCTAAAGAGGGGAAAAACACAACAAAATAGCACGAAAGACATTTCCAATATGGGAATGGATAACCACACAGAAACTGATGAGCTTAGAGTTAAAAACATAGGCAAATGCAGAAATATGAGCATTTTAACAAACAGCAGACCAAAATGAATCTGTACAGTGTTTATCAAATTAAAGCCTTAATTTGCTCACTCTGGTCGAATACACCAGAAAACATCTCAAACAGAAAGACTCAAAGCTGCCATAGAGGGTAATGGAAGTTTGAACATAAAGTAAGTTGATGGTGCCACGAGTATAGAGAAATCAGGTTCTGCTCTGTCTCTTCCAAAACCATACAGTCATTCCTGAAGAAACCAATTTTAGTAATACAGGGAGTTTATAGCCTGGAGAGGGTCAAAAAGGTAATGCCCTCAAAGACAGACACTTTGAAAAGAAAAATTTAATATAAAATTTAATATAAAACCAAAACTGAACACAGGATTCGAAGTGTGGTCTCACCAGTGCTGAGTACAGGAGGACAATCACTGCCCTGGCCCTACTGGCCACACTATTCTTGATACAGGCTACTATTCTTGATATGCCCACAGAGGGAATTTGAACCTGGGATATGTATATCTTTTATTTTAAAGGAAAACAGTGACTGCTTTGAAGGAATTTCCTTACTTTCCATCCCTAACTTGCATGGAAGCCACAGCAAAGATCTGCTAGTTGCTCTAGGATGTCCAAGGTAAGGGTCATTCTTTAGTGTCAAAGGCAATGCAATCAACAGAAAAAGGGGAAAAACGGAAACAAAAAAAAAAAACTCGGAAGAAATTATTTAAATTTTTGACAACGTGTGAACTGTGTTTCTCAGAGTACAATGAATAAGAAACACAATCTTTTCCATCACTGGGGACTTGACCGATGGAAATTTAACATCTGGGACAGTTCAGCTCATGCCCAATAAAGTAATTTTCAGTCCTGGTTAAGGCAGCTGGGAGAGGTACTGCTATCTGAAAAAAACCATTCAATTATGGCTCCTTTCCACTGTGTGGTCACAGCCTGAAAGGAGAAATACATCAACACCAAAATCTGAAAAACACAACACCAGTGTTATAAAAGGCGGTGAGCATTTATAATCCCTTGTTAGTGCCTCCTAAGAGCAGACACAGGGAAGCAAAACAACTAAAAGCAAATCAGGTTTAATCCACAGAAACACCAGAGGAAGAAAAACTTACCAATATCATGTAAGTCAGGGAGAGAAGCTGTCGGGATGTTTTCCAGCTGAGTCCTCCACGTGACATTCACTCCCAGGCGGTCCGTGCTCAGGCATTCAACATAGACAGTGGAATCATCACAGACAGAAACTGAGCCAATACTCCCAAATGCATTTACCTCGAATTCACAGTCAAATGAAAACACAGTTAGCCAACCTGAGAGCTTTCTGGTTCTGGCCTTGCCCTATCCACTTGCAGTATCCTATGCTCAAAAGTAACATTTACAAAAGGGACTGTAAAAACAGAAGCAAGGAAATATAACTTTAGCAAGTCATTTACTCACTGTAAGAACAGTCAAAATATTCTCTTCCATTGAAACAAATTTTTAATAAATATTGGATTGATGTGGTATGACTTCTATAGCTAGAACTGAGCTGATCTGCTGATGTGGTGTCAGTGAGACTAAAACTCCTGTTTTCCCACTCATCTATATGAGAGTGCTGCCAATCCTGACATATTTCATGGCACATTCTGCTCTTCCACCTCTCTCAGGTGGGCAAAGGTCTATGTTGGGTTTCTTTTTTTTTTTTTTTAATATTGAAAAACCCAACCAAAAAAAAAAAAAAAAAAACAACCAGCCAACAATAACAAAACCCTAACACCAAAAGAGAATAAAAAATTTAAATTACCTGGAGATGACATAAACCACGAGCCTTCAACTCATCTAAAATAAATATCTGGAATGCCTGGAGTAATCCAGAGTAGTCAGAACTACATGTCTTCTCAGGAGGCAGCAGTAGTTGGAAGTGTGTTTGAGCTTGGACTGTCTGAAATAATTGGAGCTCTAAAAATTAAGTAGAAAGGGCATTTAGTAATGAAGAACCCGACTTTCAGCATTACTTTGAGAAAAGACAACACTGATTTTACATTTTCATGTTGTATCAATAGTATCTACCCACTTTTTTAGGTGAAAGCAGTAGAGTTGTCAGCAGTAAATACTAAGCAGCAAGAGACAAGCTTGAAAAATATATATGTTGTACATTAGGGAAAAAGCCAGGTTACACAGTTATGTAATAATAAAGAGATGCTCTAACTCACAGAAGGATAAGGAACAATCTGGATCATTAATGATTTTTCATAAGCCTTAGCATGAAAGCTGACATTATGCCAATACTTAGAAAAGAAACAGGAAGACAAGAATTGTTGGCCTGTCGACTTCCACTTCTCTTACACACAATCATGAAAACACTCATATTAAAAAAGTAATTAAATAGTGAAAGCAATTATTACTAATTCTGATGGGGTTTTGCTTGTCAAACTAACTGGGAATAAGTTTTAGTAGAGAATTGATAGCATAGTAATGGCATGGACATGGATGTCTAAGAAGAGCCAACCAAAACACTGCAAATCACACAAATCAATGAGAAATCTGTGAAGTCATCAGTCACAAAATGAAAATCTATTTAGTCAGTTTTTAGCAACATACAAAAAAGATGCACATTTCTTTTCTCCCCTGGAGTAACACAATCCCAGGCTTCATGGAGGGTTTGTTATCTCAGATTCAGTACAACTGTCCTGCTGTCACTGCACATCTGAAGGGAGCTGGCTCTTATCCCACCAACCTGGACAAGCAGCAGAGCTCTCCCTCATTCACCTCCTCTACAGACTCTCACTGCATTACATACAAGTGGCACTGCTGGAGCAAAATTCCCAACGTCTCACCCCAAAAACGAGTGTGGGAAAGCCTGGAGAGCTTCAAAGGAGAATAATGGGAGGGACCAGAGGACACAAAAATCACAATCTCTAGATGTATCCATAAAGAACAGGTAATAAGATTTTTAAAATTGTGGATAATTATCCACTGGAACAAATCACTAACTGTTTTGGTGACTTCTCCATTATTGTGACGTTAATTCTATCACCTTCCTATGTATTGGGAATTTTTTTTTCTCTCTCCTTAAAACCGTACCCTATTTCAAACACAAATTATTGGGGCAAGTCCTTGGCTTACATTAAACTTCATAGCAGATTGTCACATACTCCCCTCTGTCCTTACAAAGTTATTCAACTGCACTGAGCAAACATGGAAGTTATTTCATAGCATGCTATAAAAACCTAACAAACATAGACAGACAAAAATCTCAGTCTGAAATTTAAAGTTTAAAAACATTTGTATTTCGAATAGAAGAGCTGAGTACAGTTGGAAATGTGAGTCCCAGATTGAGTTTAATTCATTTTGGAGATTGATTAATGTGTTTAACCTATTTTGAAAATGAAAATAGCTGCAAACTAGACAGCAAAACCTGCATTTCTCGAAGTCCAGCACTGCTATAAACTGCCATTTTCATCAGAAGATATCTCTATTTGAAATAATTGAAAAGGCCAACATTAGTATCCAAGTAAATGAGTTCTGAATACACAACCAATTCTTCCAAGAATTAAAGTGACATTTTTTTTCTTGAAAGCAAAATGGTTCAAAAAATACCAGAAGTCAGCCAACAAAGACAACAATAATCCTAAACAACAGGCTGCTGCTGCAAAAAAGATGCAAAAGTAACAGTGACTTGATTATGCAAATAAACAGTCAAGTTCTGCCAAATTCAAACATCTGGTGCTCATCTGTTCTTCCAGGACTAAACAGTTCCATCAGAATTACTTATGGTGCCAGCATCTTTTAACTAACAAAGAAAAATCTGCAAATAGATTGAATAGCTATTTATAGCTATATTATTGCAGGCAAGCAGGGCTGTTTCTGGCATAGGGGCCAGCCAAAAGGCAGAGGTGAGGATGGCAGAAGACAGCACCAAACTACTTCACCTCAGTTTAGCAACTCCCTTATAACTGTTATGCCCTATTATTGTCATTAACACAGCAGCTTTCTAATGAAAGCTGATTTTTGTGCATCTGTTTACCCTGCTCTGAGCCCTTCCCAACCCCCAGCAGCTGTGACATACTCTGGCAGGCCTGGAGGAGCGGGGCAGCCTGGACCCACCGCCGCTGCTGCACATCACACTGGAAGGAGGTGCTGGAAGAGGCGCTGTGGAAGCCCTGACGACACACCAGCTGGCACTGCTGGACACCTGGAGCTTGTCCAGAAACGTTTTCACAAAATACAGCTCCGTTGGGAAGAGATGAGGCACCGAAGGGCAGAGCACACAGTGGACCTTCACGGGAGAAAGGGGATATGTATTAGTGGCACAATATGATGACTTGTAGTAAAAAAGTCCACAAAACCTTCATATCAGCAGGGAAAACATAGACAGCACTCTCTGCATTTCCCACTCAACAGCTTGGATCTGGTTTGATGTCAGTATGGTTCAGTTTACTGAAGCTGAGCAAAAGGCACATTATTGGCTTTGATGGGTAATGCATTGGGTCCAGAAAGGTATGTGTATGGTTTCTAAGAACAGATACATTTTAAACAGCCATGAATAAATTTAAGCAGGAAATGAGAAGGAGATTTCCAACCATCAGCAGAACAAACCTTTACAAAAGATATCTAGTGGAAACAGGCAGGGCCAAAAAAATCTTATCTCAATTCCCTTTAGTCTAAAGTCTGAAAAATTTAAGATCAGGAGCTCATGACTGTGGTGCCTTCAAGAGCACCAGGATGTTTCTAGTGACCCAGCAAATCAGCATATACAGTAAATACATATAGAAATAGTAGTATACAGCTTTGGAATTGGAGCACAGTTTTTCCTATCAACTCACTCTGCATCAGTACAGTCATTCCAACCATGCTACCCCACTGTGACAGACTATTTTAGCAGGTTAACTACAATGATAATTAATTTCTACAAATCAGTACAAATCAACTGCGTCACTCAGTATTATCCAAATCCCAACCGAGCTACTAAATATATAATAATAATTAAACATTTATGAGTTCTAGAGCTACAAAACATAGGAAGAATAAAAACTTCCTTCTTGGAAATAAATTTAAAGAAAAAGATGTTATCATGCAATTCACTTCCTTGGGGTATATATAGATCATTTTCCAAATTGCAGTGCTCAGATCAGCCCCAAAATCCCTTGTTTTCCAACCCTGTGTATTTCAATGACAAAATAAAAGGCTTTCATATCTGTTTTGCTGAATTTCCAAATGCAATTTTATTTCTAAGTCTCCTTTATAGCATCTTTTCTGCAAGAACTGTGTTAATGGGGCCACTACATTCCTTCTCTTCACTCATTGACTCCATAGCCAGACTCTTTTTCTCAGTAGAGGTGGAAACCTGGCATCCTTGCTTAACAAACTTTTAATAAATCTCCCAAGTTTTTAGGACCAAAAAGACATTGCTGTAAAAGAGAGACAGTAATACTTACTCTGATCATTTAAACTACATCCACAGTCATGTGTTAATTGCATTAATATCTCTTTATACAAAGTATGTAAAAAACAACCTGTGGGTTATTAATTGCTCTAACACATTTTTACATCCAGCAAGTCATATCCAGTCTCAGCTGTATGATTCCACAGTCTTTTACTGCTTATTTCAATGAGATTTGTCTTATGAACCAGGGAAATAACCAGTCCTCAAAAGTCAAGAGATCAATGGCTTCCTGGTGTGGTTCAGATATTTCAGCTCACCGCCAATAATTTGCTCATTTATCCCTCCACAGATGTCACTCAATTTACTACTGTTATCAAGCCTACACCATTCTGTCATTCTTCTGTTTCTTGGTCTTGTAGGAGTGAATCATGATCCAGTTGAATACTGACACCTCTTTCACAGGTGGTCCTAAAGATTTCCACAAGGAACATTTAACATTAAGTGACATCTCCAGGGTCCTTCTCTGGGAATCTTTCTCTCCTCTATCTCTACTCAGAGTTGTGGGCAGTGGCATGAGGATGGGAGATGCCTGTGAGGACTGCAGGGATACTTGGCATCGTCTCTCCAGTGCATGTCAACTAAAAGTTGGATTCTACCTCTGATGGAAATGATTAAACTAATGAAAAACTTGCATGCACTGGGCACTGTGAATTATTGCTTTCTGTTTACAGCTGTCTGTTCTGATGCTGAAGAAGAAGTTTATCACATATTCCCACCCAAACAGCTTCTTTTGCTCACAGACAAGTAGTGAGAGAGTACTCCTTTTTCCTGAATGATTGTTAGTAACTCCCAGGACTAGAGGTATAAGGTTGGATAGACAGAGGAGAAAAGAAACTTCTTCTTCTTTATTTTTACACAATTACTAAGTTGTTTATCGTGAAAAGTTCCATTGTTATTTCAAAATCCGGGAAAATCATTAAAGATTATTTCAATCTCTATGCAGAGTGTAACAAATAGCTTTCAGTTAAGCCAGGTTTCCACTATATTTTCAAAGTAGTCTCAGCTCAGTCTTTGAAAAAAGAAAGGTCATTAATCATTCAGTCAGTGTTTCCTCTAGGAAAAGTACAGCATTACAGGATCCCAAAAACAACAGATATGCACCCAAAATCATCTTAAAGGCATATCTTGGGGTACACCTACACTTTTCTCAGAACGTATTCCATAATTTCTGTTGGAATTCAGGGGGAAATCTAGAAAATGAACTTTCACGAAGAGAAGGAGTTATCAAGGACTTAACATTTACAACTAGTTCTGAGTTTTCTCCAGAGCTCATCTCCTCAGAGCTCAGTTGGGCATCTCCACACACCACCACCAGCATGGGGCAGATACAACCAGTCTCCCTCTGGCCACCCATAAAATCCCATCCTCCTAACTCTCTACTGATAGAAGAGAGTTCAAAGAAAATTAAATTGGTGGTGGGTTCCAAGTTGGCTGAGCATCTGTCTAGTTGATTAAAACACCTTACAGGCAGCTGGGTAGACACAATCAGGCATTTGTACCATAGAATTGTAGAATCATTAAGGTTGGAAAAGACTTGTAAGATAATTGAGTCCAGCCATTAACCAGCACTGCCAAGTCCACCACTGAACCATGTCCCCGTGAGCCACATGTACTGTTTCCTTGGTGAGAATGAGCATGTGTTGCTCTTTATATATCAGAATCACGATAAGAAACTGAAAGAATTTCTTATCGTGTGGTCTCCTTTCCCTAAATTTTTGTCAAAAAAATGCCAAGCCAAACCAAACCAAACAAATAAAAAGAAATCCCACCAACAAATGCACTATGGAAACAGCAGTGTCCTGAAGACACCAGTTGAAGGTTTCCTTTTTACATCTTTTTACATTAGTTTCCACTAATCATTACACTTTGGAGCAGAGCCTTGTAGAAAGTTTAATTAATTTTGCTACACTTCAGTGATGGGAAGATGTATAAGGGCCACTGCAAATTAAATTTATTCCAATGTCTCCCATTTGGATATCTCACTGGAAACCATGAGTGAGTATCAGCTCTACACAGCTCTGGTCATGCAGGAAATACTCTGTGAATATGCAGTGTTTTGGCACATTCTTTTCACAGTTCTGGTCACAAGCCAAGAGCTGGAATGGCAGAAGCATACATTTTTCAAATTTTATTTTAGTCAGCTGAATGGTTTTTAATCCCAGAGCCAGCTCAGACTGGAACAGGTTCAAGTTTGCAGCAAGCTGTTCAGATTGACGTTGTAGCTGGGTTTTATAAATCAACTTTTTGATTCAATCAATTTTATGAATAAGGAAAAGTCAAAGATCCATTCCCTTCTCATTTTTCCCTGACAAAGCCCTTGAAGAA